TTTACCTTGAAGCGCAACTTTCTGTTTCTGTCTCATGAGGCGCTGGATGAATGCAGCAGGACAAGTGAGTTCCACAGAGGACACGCCCAGCCTCCCACAGGACCCACAGGATCCACTGCTAATGTCTCAATGCCAGGCTCTCAGAGCCTTTTGGCAGCACAGGAGAGACCCACGAAACACGAAACAGGTGCTTCTGAAGTGACGAACGCATTTCATCTCTACTCGGGACTCTGAGAGTTTTAAAGCCTTTAGCCCTTAACCAAAGGCCAACAGTGTTAGAGGTACATTTAAAAAAGGTAGAACACAATTGAACCAACTATCTGAAGTTCAAAATCATTTGTTTGTTTGACTATTACAGAAAACGGATGAGATGTGTGCAGTTCATTCAAAAATTAGACTCAGATTATTTTGCACATTCAGAGAACATAAAAAAAAATCATTGCTGTTGGTTTTGCATAATTTTTACAGCCTGACAAACAAAAAAAAGATAATGCCGTTTAATCATTAGCGCCTGTGTGCTTCAAAAATCCTAAAAATCAAAACAAAAATTAAATGTTCAGTGATAGACCTGAATTTAAATCCTTATCACATCCACTGTTATCCATTTTTATTGTCAGAAACTTATATGCAAACAAACGTTTAAAGTTATAAATAGCTGACTACAAGTCGACTTTATTCCACATTCATGTCCGCATGTAGCAAATGTTGACTGGATGAACAGGATGTATGCGGAGACACACATTGTTGTAAATTTCTATACATATATACCTTTAGATAAACATCTGTCAGGGCTGACGTCAGCCCACACAGAAGCAAACCTTTCCAGTACATTCAGATCTTCATCTTTCCAGTAACTGAAGGGCACATGAGCCATAAACACTGATATGTAGGGTGAATTCTCACAGCAGAATTTAAAAACTGTCTCAGGCAGGTCAGGGTTAGAACACTGGCTATAACTCAGCTAGTTAAATACTTCGGCTTCCCACAGTTTACTGTATTAATGTTGAACAGCTGTGTTCCAGTTAAACAGAGCTGTTAACCATTTTCGCGATAATGTTTTATTTGTAACCCTAAAAATGTTGTCATCGAGATGTTTATTAACCTTAGTCAGTCTTCAATCTCTGACGTCTACCAAATGATTTAAAACTGCATTTCTAGCTGCCTACGTTTCCAAAATTTAGATACATGGCTGAAAAAAGATGGCTGACAAAAGCCGAATTGGATCAATCTTTTACAGATGATGTATAGCAATCTGACAAGATGCTTACACTCCACCATCAGCCACTCACAAACAGACCCAGGACACGTCTCCTTTGTGATTACAAAGAACAATCATGGACTGAAAAGCAAAAAAATAATCTGTGTATGAACCGCCTTCTCAAAAAATCAGTTGGCTGAATTTGTTTTTTGATGACCCCTATTGATTTTTTTCCATTACTTCGCACTCCTTCAAATTCTGCCGCACGTGCACAGAGTCCCGCATGAGGGTGGAAGAAAATGAGTGTGAAAAATGAAGGTCCTGGCAAAAGAAAAAGGAATGAAATGAGGGTTTTGAGGACTGCGTGGACCTCGGGCCCACGTCCCAAATCCTGCACCGGTGTGAACGCAAACAGAAAACAGGAGCCTGTGCTGATCCTGTGTCGTGCCCAGGATTCAAACTCAGCTCTGTGAGACGTTACGTGCCGCCAGGCTTGCACAATGAACATTATTATTGCCCGTGTGCTCGGGACAGAGCAAAGCAGCCTGGGAAGAAACCTGACACTTCCGAGACATGTGGTTAGTGAGGGGCCGTGGAGCGCTATTTAAGGCTTGGGCTCAACCTTTTCCTCTCCTCTGCCATGTGCCTTTGTAAAAAACACAAAAAAAACAACATCCTGTCTTTGTGAGGAGTGGACAAACAGCTCACCAAAGACGTGTCTGAAAGTCCCCCGTACTCAGACATACCCCTACACATCACCTTCGAGGGGAAAAGAGGCAAACAGAGAAAAGGGCAGCAGAGATTAAGTGCATGCTAACACAAGCAGCCCACAGATATGTGTCATTCCCACGATGTGAAGCATAAAAAGGATATCAAGAGCCCTTAACTGTGGCAGGTCAGAGACAATGAAGGCACCCTCGCCAGTAAACACTTGTCGAACAGAAAATGACAGCCTTAAACAGGCAATCGGAAAGCTAAACAGGGTTTTTTTTCCTGGAAACACAGAGAAAACTGAGGTGATTAATGTCTTTTGTGAGTAAAAGGCAGAAGAAGGGGAAAAGGATGTTTCACTTCTCTGAGGGAGTCTTGGCTTTAGCGCCCATGTTGACATTGTGAGTAAGGTATGCTTTGAGTAATGCCAGGCTAAAAATACAGTAAGAACCCATAAATCTCCAAAGCTGAGAAGGAGACTATTTATTCTGTACTTTAATCTGGGACGGACAGGTTTAATTTATTGCAATGTACAGATCTCAGATTTAAAGGTTAAACTATTTATTATTTCCAAAGATAGAACTGATGACTAGGCGTAATCCTTTGTAGTAGTTTTAAAAATATGTTCAAATGCTAAATTGATTAAAGAAAATTAATAAATTGAAAGTTAAATATCCTAAAACTCAGAAAGTTTTTCACTAAATTTGAGATTCAGAGGCCTTGCTCCCACTTTCCCCACTTAGTGAGTGACTTTTTACTGGTTTTAGGTCTGTTTGTTATTGATACAGGCAGGTAGATCTGTTTAAACACTGGATCTTTAAACGGTGAAAGAGAGAGTAACTCCCAGTAAAGCGGAAAAAGTGACGATGCACGTGTTGGCCTAAACTCACAGCCCAGCCCAGCTGGTAAAGCTCCCGAGGCTTTTCAAAAACAAAGATGTGGTCGTCCTGTGTAAAGTTACTTCAACAAAAGAGTTAAAAGTTAAGAGTTAAAAACCAATGCTAACCAGCTCTTCCCCTTTAAACATTGTCCTCGCCTTAACAAACACAACTTAAGTACGGTATATTTGCTCTGAAAGGCAAGGTGCCCTGAACGCAGCGTCAGGAGAGGCAGTTTTACTGTAAAACGCAACAAGCGGACGTCAAATATTTAAAGTTTGGCGTGCGCACACCGAAAGCTTGCACGGACAAATGTTCCAGGGTGTGACTTAACAGCATAAGCACGACTCAGCATTTCTATCTAGGAAAGTTAAGCGTCATTTTTCGCTCAGAAAGGCGGAAACGGATCACAATTCGAGGCCAACACAGCACGGGCGTCCAGCGGGGTGTCAACATGTCTGCCAGTTCCCATTAATAAACAGAAGATCACCTTTTGAAATGAGTGTGCTAAGTTAATAAACGTTTACCCAAGTCTTAATGTATATTAGCAAACCAGTCAGGAAGCTCCAACATGATAAAATGTGATTTGTCACATTAATTTGCATGGGAGCACTTTATGACACACTTTGTGAGTCATATATGACAGTAGTAGAGATTTAATGGTTAATGGCTCTTTTTTTTTTATTTGATCAGGCTGCTCTGCCAAAGCTGAAGCCATCCATCACCATTTGTTTTTATAAGAACACGCCAAAAACTTGATTTCATTATCTGTTGTTAAACTTTAGGCAAACAAAACCCTAAATGATTTGACTTTCTGAGGTTTAACCGGCGGAAAAAGGGGCTCGGTTACAACTGGTTGGTGTACTTCTGGTTTGCAGCCGAGCAGAAAAAGCGAACCAGTGAAAAAGCAGAAGTTTACTTCCGTTTAGTCCACAAGGTCCCTCAGGATGTGGCTTTCCCCGGCAGGTCAAACAGCAGCGCTCTCTGTGACTCAGAGTTTCCAGACTAGTCCGGTCGGTAGATTCCTCCTGAAACAGTCTAAACACGACTGTCAGTCCAGATGTGACTGTAAAAGGGACTCTGCTCCATAATAACAAGTCCGTTTTTGAACGAAAAGTTGATGGAGTTTGACACATTAGCTGACGTGGGCCTGAGAGTTTACAGCGTGTCAGAACGAAACCAACACCCGACACTCCCGCGGCGCACAGGTGTAGGGTTCTAATCTCCCCCTCGCCCGCACACGCACGCCAAGCAACGGCCTCCAGGGGTGTTAATAATTTACAGAAACATTCTAAACCCTCCGGCCTCCTCCCAGCATCTGTTCCGTAACTTAAATAGTTTTATTGTAGGGGAGGAGAGAAGACAGGTGCAGTTTACCGTTATCGCGCAGACTTCGGGTTTCTTGACCTAAATGGCACTCGGGCTTCCTCCCACCGTCCGAAAACAAGTTAATGGATGACTCCGAAGTGGCCGGAAGGAGTGAATGGAGCGTGTGTGGTTGTTTGCTTTTTATGGCCTGGCGACCTGGAGCTGCCCTCGCTCAGTGAAGCACTTGAATGCAACAGAAATCGGTGACCACTTGCTCAATCTGATGACGCCCCTTACACCCTTAGGAGAGAAAACGTGAAAGCTGTTTGGCTTTAACCACAGAAGCAGTGGGTTCACTTCCTTTTTCCTGTATTTTGCGTGAACAGGAAATGAAAGGAGAAAAAGTTGCTTTTTTTACCAATCCAAGATTTGAAATGTGTCATTCTGTCTTCGTCGTGCAACCTAAAATAAACAAAAAAAACAAACATAAATCCAGACAATGCTGGTTTTCACGTCAGCGTGTTAAACCTGGGTCTAATTAAAACCTGCCACATTCCTCTGATGGGGAAGATCACACATTCGGCTTAAAGCTGTAACGCTCAGAAACGAGTGTTTCAACTCATCTGTCCGCACTCATTTTCCACAACCTGTTCAATTCCCACCCATCTCACATAAAAAAAACACTTTATTCAAATGTTTAACGCAGCGATGCGACGCACGGCCGGTCAAACGATCAGTCAGCCAGAATGACAAAAACAGGACAGTTTTACTCATTTCTGGACAGTCTGGGAACAGATAAATGTCAAATTTGATGTAGTATGATAGCGTTTTTCTTCAGACCCACAACAGTGGGTTTCCAGAACATACTCCAGTCAGGGTGGCACATTAAAGACATGTTCCCTTACAGAAATACAGATTTATTGAGCCTCGCATCACTCGTGGACAGTCCAAACCAGACAGCAGCAATTCCTGTAAAAAAAAAAGTTCCCGCTTTTTTGTTTTGTTTTAGCTTTCTTTTTCTTTCTTTTTTTTTTTTACATGTTGTCAAGACTTATGAAAGCTTGTCTTGAGGCACTGATATGAGAGTCTTAGACACAGCCCATATTGGGAGGGGTTGGGGGGGTCATAATGGTCGTAGCTGACTCAGCACTAATGATAAACCAGCACACACGGAATCTAGGCTTTGGTTGTTTTTTATTTCTTGCATTCGACCCACATTCACACCTTAACCCCTATGTTGACATCCTGCTATAGGTCCAAAGGGGAAATTAAAAACCTGATTCAAATTGAGCTTTTTTTCCATTTGAATTTTTAGCTTCAGGGGCACAACTGGATAAATAAAAACAAACATTTCCATATATACTGAATGCTTCTCTGCTTTCGTTTAATTGAAATAAATTTGCATAAAGCCTGGCCAGCAGCCTATTCTGTACAATCTATCCCCCAGATAAGCAAACTAGTGCACACGTGCACCACTGTAGCACAGAATGACAAAACACATGTGGAGGTTGACCGAGACCTGAATAATGAGGGCTCTAAAGAAGCACAAACCAGGTTAGTAGCTGGACTTTAATATCAAGTTTTTCTGAAATGGTTTCTGTCAGAGGGTGTTGTTTGCTGGTGGTTACTTGTTCTAACGTGAAACAAGCCTCAAGAGGGAAAGCAACCACAAGCTTTTCTGTGGCGATTAGATTCCTCTTTGTGAAGAATGCGGACTTGAAACAGCTCCATAGGAAAGGCATTAAAATCTTTGGCAGGTAGTCCTCAAAATAAAATTAAATTAAAAAAATCAATCATGTAACCATGATATTATCGGTCCCCCTTCACCTTTTGTGATTCAACAGGACAGCAGAAGCCCAGACAGTCCACGAATAAAAGACAACTTACTGAAACGTAAGAGGAGACGAAGCAGCAAATCTCACCATCAAAGTCCCATTGTTAGCCCCACTTTTCTAGCCCTTTTCCGCCCCTGTCATGGGCAAACCTGTCCGACACCTTTGGGTCCTGGAGTGGAGCAGCCTCTGCTTTTCTCGCAGCTTCTCCTCCACGCACTGGACGAGCACGGGGTCCACTTTGGGGTCGAACTTGTTGGCGAACCAGTGGCCGTAGTCGAGCAGCCAGCGCATTTCGGCCGCCCCGTAGATGCACACGCTGCGGACGTGCTCCCCCGTGCACGGCGGGTACAGGCTCTCCTCCAGGTAGTGCCACTTCACCAGCCTGGTCTTGCTCATCAGGTCGGTGATGTCCGGCTGGGAGCGGGGCACCTCCCCGGGGACGCCCGGCACGCGCACCAGCGTGGCCCAGAAGTGCTCGTCCGGGGAGTAGGTGTCCTCCGACCAGGACAGGAAGTCCCGGGCCACCGGGGAGGCCTCCATGTGCGCCACAAACTCCCGCGAGAGCACGAAGTAAGCGTTGCCCACGAACATCTCGATCCCGTGCGGGGGCGGGGTCTTCTCCTGCTCCGTCTTCACCGGTATCTTCTGGTACTCGAAGTTGGCGTCCTTCAGCTCGTGGTGGTAGGTGAACCGCTGCCTCTTGTAGTCGGTGGGCCGGCTGCTCTCCAGCATGTTGCCGCCTTTCAGCTTCTTGAGCTCGGCCACCAGCTCCATGTTGGACCTGAGCGGGAAGTCCTGGCCGCACAGGTTGATGACGTACCTCCAGTTGACCGCCGACGCCAACAGGTCGGACAGGCAGTTGAGATCGGCCCTCAGCCGGCTGATGCTGGCGTAGACCACCGACTCCCGCTTGCTTGCGATGAAGACGTTGGGCACGCAGCCGGCCAGGCCCTCCATGGCCGCCGCGAACTCCGGCGAAGACTTCTGATCGTAGTGGATGCAGTAGATGTTGTTGGGCGAGTATGTCGCTCTGATGAGTCTCTCCACCATCCAGGCATTTTTATGCACAACCAGAGAGTAAGCCAGAGGAAAGTCTCTCTCCTCCTCAGAAACGCAGGCGTCATCATAACGCCTGATGTCGAGGAATGAGGCGCAGCCTTTTGTAAGGTTTGTCAGGCTTTCATCCGGGTACTCCATTTCCTTCTTCCTTCTGATGATCAGGGATTTCCCCACCTCTACCGGGTCCATGTCATAAATAGCTGAGCAGTCAATGGGGTGCGTCGGCAGGGGGCCCGGGGCGTCCGGGGGGCCCGTGGGTTCCAGGACGTGGTTGAACTTGACTGGGACCAACAGGAGGAGGCTCAGCACCAGCAGCGACAGGAAAGACCGAAGGCACTGCTTTCGTTTCAGCCTCAGCGCTGTGCATCTCGCATTCATTCTGCGGGGAGAGAGAAAGCAAAGAAAAAGCTGAGAAAACGAAAAAGCGTGGGTGCAATAAGAATAGCTTCGCCGAGGCAAGAAAAGAAACTGGGACTCCACGTGGCGTGTTGATTCACGCTCATTTCAGCCACAGTTTGAACGCCAAACGTCAATATTTGCAGGCCATTTAAGTCCTGAAAGGCATTTAAAAATGGCATTAACCCCACAAAGATGTTGGGTTAAACTGGCCCGACCACATTTTCCACTTTCATTGTTAAGTGCTCTTTATGTTGCACTTTTAAGGAGAAAAAGGTCCTGCCTTACGAGCTTGACAGTGTCAGAAATTGACCGACTGCTTTTGGTGAGAAAAATGTCAGAAGGTGTGGTTAAAAAAAACCTTTTCAGAGATCAAAAAGTCAATCTTAATTGCTTAACCTTAACAGAGAGAAGAGACTTTCGGATTTTTTAAATCCTGACCCCTGAGAATAAACAAAACCGGGACTCCCAGCATCCTGTGTATGCATGCGAAAATCATGCATCCAAATAAACTGAATACAATTCTATTCTAACGCTAATTACACTATAGGTGCAGATCATAAGATGTATAAAACATTCTCAATTCTAACTTAACTTTAGAGTTGGTCATTTAAATGTTGCGTTAACCTGTTAGGTAGCCGCAATTTTCTGGAGAACCACATAAATGATGGCGTATTTTTCATTGTATTCAGTGATATTAACAGACCGTACTCTTTAACCTAATCTTCCTCTATAGTTTCTCTCACAAATATTAACTGCGGTGCTGAGTCATGTTCTTCTCCTCTCTTTTGTGTTTCACACAAGGGTGCGTGTCACACACTTTTTGAAAGCCTGCAGAGTTTCTTGGAAACGTCGTGCTCCATTGATGCAACCTTAACTTTTGCCCATCAGTTAACAACAGCCACACCGACTGCATCCTCATGTCTGCTCACTTCTGAGCAGAAACGAGGATGCACAAAAGCCGGTTTGCACGTAGGCTCTGTTTGGACCGGCAGCGTGGCGACTGCTCTGTTGTCGCTCTCACAGACATGTTTCAAACCACGAGGAGGATTTACTGACATGATCTATGCATCAGTGACTCAACCGCATAGCTTCGACAGAGCTGTTAGACCTGTTAAGTGTCATGAAAGTGGTAGGCCTTATCAGGTTGGTGCTATGTAAAGCTACCAGTAAGCCTACGTATAATTAACATGTTTCTTAGCCCATTAAGGAAACTTCATTTGAACTTTCTCCTGCTTTCACGTGTATGTATAGATGTAAATTAATTTTCACAATGGGAAGGCCCTTTTCTGAGAAAAACACAATCAGCACACTGTAGATTATTCGTTGTTAGTAGTGATTAATGATGTACTGATTTAATAATCTCCACAACAAAAGTGTGTGTTTTTCAAGCACCTCTAATCCTACATTCATTCATTTATTCGGTTTGGTCATGGTCTGCTGTCATTTCCTTGGATTCTCTGTATATCCTATTGCCGTTATGTACCATAGATTGAACTTTCTATCAAGTAAAGGGATAAACTGTTTGCTAAAGAAGCCTCTCTGTGTAATCAATTTACACACACCCATTCTAATGAGCGGTTGCCAGTCAACGTAATGAGCTCTGGGATGCTCAGGCTGTTATGCAGCCAACTAAACAACGTTTCCAGCCTTTCACTGCCTCTGTACCGACAGCTTTCAAACTCCTGACACCAAACTCAAAGCCAATCTCCTATTGAATATTTCAGATTTTTGTCTTTGGTCATTTTCAGTTAAATGCTGACTTTAAAACACAGTTTTTTTTAACGTGACAGCGGTCTCTTTCTTCTTCTTTTTCTGTTACTGGAAAAGTGGCTGGATGAATTCAAACTCACCTTGCTCCATAAGCTGGTGCCCCGGATTGCCAGCCCCCCTCACAAGCCGCTTTATGTCATCCTGAAAGTTAGGAAAACTCGAGTAAACTTTTATGTTTTTTTTTGTTATCTTGTTTTTTGGACAAAAAAAACCCCTCCCCTGGCTGCTGTCTCTTTTCACGCAACGGCGTAATGATAAATAATTAGGAACTTACAGAATTCAGACGCAAAGAGCGGAGACCCACTCGCTTTTGGCGCTCCGCTTTTTACGCACAGTCAGGACGGACGTGCTCTTCAGCCGCAAAAGCATTCCGAAATGCCATTCGCCTCATTGTTATCAAGATCAGTTGCTCGGAGTGGGAGAGGCACAGCTCGCACGAACTCTCAGCCCGCCGATCTCCAACTTTGTCGAGGAGGTCGACGCTGCGGTGTAAAATAACCCGGAAAGAGGGAGGGTTTTCTGGAGCCTAATTACAGACTACAGAACAAAAAATGTTGCTCGGCACCCTATCTGGGTTTGATACCCCCTTCTATAGATGGCACGCAAGAAAGAACAACAGAAAAAGCGCAGGTTGAGGAAACGGAGAAGTGCAGACTGATCCAACAGGTAGGAGCGGAGGCGCACATTAAAGCGGCTGAATGAAAACCCCGTGCCTCAAATCATCTGAGCCCACTCAAGAGGACAAGTTCAGGCGGACTGCCACACTCAGCAAACTCCAAATGTTTCTTCTTCTTTTTTTTTTTTTTTTAAACCTAGGCGTGAGAGTCAGTAACGGATGTCCGCTTTTAGATGGACGAAGGACCTTGACAATAGAAAAGAGAAACCTTTTTTCTAAAAAAATGGGTTAACCAGATCCAGTTGATGTAGAAGGGAAACGTCTACTTTCAATGGTTTCATTGTCTGTGCTCAAAATAATCCAGACCTGACTGTGTCTTTGTGTGAGGGGAGCCAAAGAGACTGTGAGCTCCCCGGCACGCTGGAAGGATCGCAGTTATTTCAATATTATTTTACAGCAATTACAATTGGAAATAGGAATTAAACTGTGTTTCCACATAGGCTGTTCCCTTCACCCCCAAAACGGACACTGAAAAGTAGTAGCATCACATTTCTGATCTCCAAAGCATTATTATTTTATGTCAATCTTTCTTTTGAAAAACTCAAGCAAAGATGAATGCTGACTAACACATTCAGGCTTTAAAAACGCACCAATGGCACCCCCTCCTTCATAACAACACTGTAAAACATGTTATAGACCATAATATGCAAATATTCTGCCAGACTGACCAATCGTTTTTTTAGAAAAGACGGAAAAGATCAAATGCTCTCCATGGAAGATAGGGCTGTCAAGAAGCCATCCTTAAGGAAGGGAAACCAGGAACAAGGGCTGGGCTGTGCCAGAGGAATCCAGAAGCGGACTGAAAATCAGTGATTGATGGAGGGATGGATCCTCCCTAGAGCCAAAGGAGCCAAAGGCAGTAGCAACATCCAGAGAAGAGCTTTGGGACGTCTTTCAAGAAGCCTGGAAAGCTTCTCCTGGAGACTCCTTATAGAAAAGACTCACAGAGAGGGTTCAGAGATGGAGGAGAAAGGAGCTCAGAACACGGATTAATTTATTAAACATGTACGACTTGTAGAGACTCACAAACGTGGTTTTCACTTACATTTAGCTGCCACCACTTCCTACTTTACAAGAAATAGGAAATGTTGTGTTGCCCAACGCTTTGCACAGGACTGGATAACACATGAGTTCTTTGCATGCAGACAAGCAGAAGTCACATGAAAGCTGCACTTTGGCGAGAGAATTTTAGACCGATTGGATGGAAAAGACAAGATATACTCCATCCATCTATTATCGTTACCGTTTATTTCCTAATGGGGTCGCGAACTGGAGCCTATCCCAGTGGTCAAGGGGCGAGAGGCGGGGTACACCCTGGACAGTCCGCCAGTCCATCGCAGGGCCACACAGAGACACACAACCACACACACTCACATTCACTCCTAAGGGCTATTTGGAATGTCCAGTCAACACAGATATACTGTATATGTAAATATTAGCGTTATACCCCCTCCCTGGGCTGCCACCTTATTCCAGTGTGTGTGTGTGGTGATGGTGGTGGGGGGGGGGGGGGTTGAGTTTCCCAATGATCCTAGGAGCTATGGTGTCTGGTAAGGGCTCTAATGGACACCCAAGGTAAACCCAAGGTCCTAGGTGAGGTATGTGCAGCCGAAAGACCCCATATGATGAAAAACAGATAACCAATCAGAGATGTCTCAGATAAGCTGAGGAAAATAGATGGATGAAGATGAACGTTATCTTCAGAGAGCTGGAAGACATGCGCCAACAGAATTGTGATGGTGATAAAGGTCGTTTTCTCCTGTAAATCTTCTACTGTGACTAACACTGCTCTGTCTGTTCTTTCTCCCCTCATTATCTTTATTCTTCCTGCATTTGACCGGATATTACAGTACTATATGACAGGAGTAGGTATGGCGGACTGATTGAACCATATGGCGGCCATAAATATAGAGAGCAATGTTTGCAGAGTGTCAGTCATGCATCATAGCAGCCAAAGTCTATCTGTTACAGAGTTTACACAAGGGGAAGGAAGGACTGGGTAGCTCTGATGACTCAGCCCACAAGCTGGTTTTAGACTCTTGGGGGATGCTAGTGAAATCAAAACTGATAGGTCTTGACTTTGTCAGTGTTGGACTTCTCTAGTCATTCTCGTGATCCGACGTGAATGACCTCAAATGAAGGAAGATAACCTCATTTGCCGTTTTTTTTTCTGCAACTATTCATCTCAGAACCTCATAGTTGCTGAACCTGGCTGTAAAGTTTGAAAGCACGGGACTAAAAATCTAACAAGCACTCCTTGACTCACTTTTGAAAGTCATCCTTGGGGGGTCAACAAGAATTGTCCTCCAACAAGGACCCACTGACAGCAATAGAGTAAAATTGTACTGACCAAATGATACAGAGGAACTTTTAAGCACCATCACCTAAAGATGATGTGGTGAAACATTCTCATGTACATTGGCGTTGCTCTGGCATGCCTCTTTATCTGTCTTTCCATGTATATTTGCACATTAATACCAGATAAAACCTGCATGCATTTAAAGGAGAATAACTCCTTGTGGCCAACATGGCTGCCAGCTTACTTGTTTTAATGTAACAGCGGCCCACTTTGGCCAATATTTCATTGGGAGTCTTTGTAAGTCTTCTGTGGTGCTCCTCTGGATTCTCTGTAATGCTCTTGTTTTTGGATCAAGTCTGAAAGATTTTGCAGATGAAACTCTTGAGTTGAGTCATAGAACTCGTTGATAAGGGTAAGAGAGCAATATCTCTCATCTCTTATTGTGAACATCCTGTGTCTTGAACAGTGCTTCCTTTCTCTGGGAAAACAGAAAATAAATGCAATGATGTATTAAAAAATGTACAATTAAAACAGCTGATAAAGCTAAAAGCTTAGTCTGTACAATTCTTACAAGTTAAATAATAATTCATATTATAAATATAATTTTAAGATGAATGTTAGCTCTGAGCTCTTTTATCCTCCATCTCTGAACCTGCTCCTTTAAAGAGTCTTCAGAATCAGCTCTCCAGGCTTCCTGAAGGAAATCTCAAAGCTCTCAAAGGATGTGGGCAACCTTTTGCCCTTTTCAGTCCACTTCCTCTTTGGCCAAACTATATTTTATCTCCCCCGTTTCCTTTCCTTAGCCATTTATCTTGTACATGGAGAAATAAAAGAAATCATCCTGAAGTTTAACCCAGATACGACACACTGTTCATTCCTTTTGTTTCCTTTCCATAAAAATTGCTTCTTGGCAGCCCCCCCTTCCATGGACAGCATTTCTGATGAGGTTTGGGTCAACAGGAAATGGATCAGCTGAAGGCCCGGGTGTATCTCTCATGTCTTGTGTATGGTCTTTGCAGGATTTTTTCCTCTTTCTTAAGAACATTACTTTTAGATCCTCCGGAGATTATTTTTTAGGCCCAAATGTTCTTCTTTTGTCCAGTTTCCTTAAATGTTTTAAGGATACACTGCATACCATGTTGAGATATGTTTTCAGCTAACAGCTCTTTGGAAATCAGTTTGTTACTGAAAGAAATCCCATTTTTTGTCTGGTAAACTGTGTTATATTTGTCACGTCCATAAATCAACAAAAAAGAACGATAAAATTCTTCATTTTACTATTTGTGACAAGCTACTCGTAACCAGTTGCCTAAAGATATCAGTTGAAATGGTTTTGGGCTCAGTCTTCTGCAGGCAGAAAAGCTGCTAATGTGTTGATTCATTTGATTTTTGCCCCCCTAAAAGATTAAATGGTTAACTTAATAATTATAAGATCTAAAATTGTTAAGTATTACACAACATGAAAAGAAAAAAAAGAAAGAAAGAAAGAAAGAAAGAAAGAAAGAAAGAAAGAAAAAAGAAAAAAGGAAATCAGCCAATGTCAACAGAAACTTAACATTTCAGGAAAACAGTTGCTTAAATCGACTTTAAAATATTATAGGAAAATTCGACTGGTCATAAATATATTTATAACCAGATACACAGAAATTATACATATTATTATATTAATATATTTATAACCATATATATTTTTAACCACCTCTCTCTTTATAAATATAAACAGAGAGGTGGATCATGACTTCAGCTAGATGAAAGGTGCAGTCTGAGCTATGATAACGACTATGTGTTTATTTATTAATTTCTTATTCTATTTTAGGCACGGGACATATTTGACACTGTTACTTTAAAAAAGCGTCCAGTCATCGTTGCTAGAAAAGGTCTTTTGGCTCCATCCTGTGACGCAATCTGCTGGTGACGACGGGAGAAGTTAGGATTTCCTCGTCGCCATGTTGGGTTTGTGACTTGTTACATCAGGGCTGTAACAGTGGCCGCACCGTTATGGTAAGGATACTCTGGTCACGCTGGTACTCTGCCTCGGTGTTTGACAACCTCATGACACCGCCGAAGACTAAAATTGGAGAAACTGACTTATAAACGTAGTTCTGTTACAGTCAGTTTAAGGTGTGACAGCTAATGTGGCTAATGCTAAAAGCAGCTAACGCTAACTAGCAATAGCGGTTATAGAAACCTCCCGTTTTCTCTATCTCTTTGGTACATGACAAGACAAAAACATGTTTTGAACGGGGTTTTATTTTGCCTACCAAGGCATGCTTTGTATTTTAAAGAAACTCAGTGTTATTATGTGTTATTAGCTGTCGGCTAATCACCCCGTTGGCTTGGGCTTGGCCAGGTGAAGCTGTGACCTTAGGAAGCAGGAAGGCATCCTGAGACCATGCTGGCACGTCTGTTTCGGCTCCACGGCCTGCTGGTGGCCTCCCACCCATGGGAGGTCATAGTCGGGACCCTGGCTGTCACCGTCTGCCTCATGTCCATGAACAGCCTGGCTGCAAGTAGCCAAGTGTGCAGCTGGAATGAGTGCCCCAAAGCTGAGGAGGTAAGGCTTGTGTGGAAATAGCATGTGTATACATGTTTGAGTGCATAATATATATATATATGTATATATTAGCTAACAAGGTAAAATGTGTTTTTATTTTCTAACAGGTAGTCCACAGCAGTGACATAATCATTCTGACTGTCACTCGCTGCATGGCAATCATTTACATCTATTTCCAGTTCAAGAATTTACTACAGTTGGGCTCCAAATATATACTTGGTGAGTATGATTATTATTGGATATTGCAGCTTGGGGAGAGTGGCACAATAATGGGACTTTTTGGATGTTTTCAGAAAAAAAAATTGATCTTTTTTTTGTTGTTGTTGATAAATTAAAAAAAAGTTTTGTTTTTCTTCAGATATTTAATGCAAGACTATTAAGTAAGATGCTAATGTTTAGTTTCTCTCCCTCTGCAGGTATTGCAGGGTTATTTACAGTATTTTCAAGCTTTGTCTTCAGCTCAGTGGTCATCCACTTCTTTGGGAAAGAGCTGACCGGCCTAAAGTAAGTGTTCCAAATGTACAGTAGAGTCTACCTTACAGATAGCCCATAATTTTGAATAAAATTGATGCTGCTTCATCATTGTTATTTATTCATATCTACACAAAAAAGACTGAAAACTTTGAATGATAATATTATATGTATATATATATGCACATAATTGAACAGCTTGTTTTTTGTAACACTTATCCTGAGAATGTCTGAGACAAAGGAAAGTCAAACATCCATTCAAAAGCCATGCGGCTGAAATCCTGCAGGAATTTGGTTTTGAGATTAGCAGAGTCGTTTAATTTTTGTGTCAACATACCGATTTTGAATGTGGTTTAGAGGATTTGAGCTGATGTGTTCCCTCCCTGACTCTCCCTGCAGCGAAGCCCTGCCGTTCTTCCTCCTGCTCATCGACCTGTCCAAAGCTTGCACCTTAGCTAAATTTGCCCTCAGCTCAAACTCTCAGGTATTGTGAGGCTGCTGGTTACTAAAACTATGAACTGTTTCTGTAGACGTGGGTGTCTGATAATGTCTCCTTTCCTTTTGCTCACAGGAGGAGGTGAGAGAGAACATTTCTCAGGGCATGGCTATCCTGGGACCCACGTTCACCCTCGATGCTCTGGTCGAGTGTCTTGTTATAGGAGTTGGCACCATGTCAGGTACAGTTTGGTCCACTGCCTTCATCTATAAAGCAGAAATCTGCTGAAATTATGAAAAAGCGTTAAATTATTCCTGTTTTTTCTTCTGGTTTCCAGGTGTTCCTCAGTTAGAGATCATGTGTTGTTTCGGCTGCATGTCTGTGCTGGCCAATTACTTTGTCTTCATGACGTTCTTCCCCGCGTGCGTCTCCCTGGTTCTGGAGGTAAGATGCCAAACACCTGGCTGAACTCGAGCCGACGGGTCTGGGATCACAGCTGCCGGATTCTCAGTGAGAATTTTTGTGTTTTCAAGCTGTCACGAGAAAGCCGCGAGGGCCGTCCCATCTGGCAAATGAGCCACTTGGCCCACGTGTTGGCTGAGGAGGAGGACAACAAGCCCAATCCTGTGACCCAAAGGGTGAAAATCATTATGGTGAGAGATCGTTTCAAGTCTGCGCGAGTGTTAAACAGACTCTGCACAGTAAGATGTTGCTTTCTGAACCAAATCTGAATGAGAAATGACGGCGTCTGGTGGTATTTTCCAGTCTCTGGGCCTGGCCCTGGTCCACGCCCACACTCGGCTAACGTCTGAGCAGTCGGGCAACAACCGCACAGCGGAGGGACCCGTCGTAAAGAGACTGGACTCTGCCGGCGGCATGTGGCCGCAGAAGCTCTCCAGGTAAAAGCAGAACGTCTGCATTTTGTTCTTACATTTGATCCTTCCAAAACATTTACCATGTTGTGGCTAAGTTTGGGGATGAGCCGCTCTGTCTCTGCCCGCCAGCGTGGAGCTGGAGCACGTGATCACCCTCAGCCTGGCCCTGCTTCTGGCTGTGAAGTACGTCTTCTTCGAGCAAGCGGAGACGGAGTCCACGCTGTCTCTCAGGAGTCCCATTAGCAGCTCCTCCGCCACCCAGAAGCCCCGGGCGGCAGAGGACTGCTGCAGGAGGGAGCCTCCAGCCTCAAAGCCCCACAGAAGCTCAGGTGGTATCCTGGCAACCAGCTCAGCCGCCTCGCCTCCCTCAGACGTGAAACCGTCCTCCGAGGCCGACGCCACCTTCAAAGATAAGGGTGAGCCGTGTGTTTGTTTTCCCGCTGAACGACAGCTTGAAGAAGTAGCTCTGCATCATATCAGCTCAGTTTGTAAACATTTGATGGTGTTTCTTGGTGAAAAGCTCACTAACAATGGAGAAAATCCCAGGAATTATGACGGTTTTAGATCAGATTTTCTAATAATGCTCAATAAATTGAAACGAATAAATACAAATATCACATTGGGTGTAAAAGGTTTCTGAAAACTACTAAGAAATCCAGTATTGTTATGAGTTAACTCTGAGTCCAGTTTTAAAAAATGTTTTGTTTCTAACTAGATGAAAATAGTGCCGCCCTACAGATGTAGAGTTTTTTTTTTCTTTGTTAAAATATTTCCAATAGTTCCAAAAATATAGGGAAAGAAATATATTATACATGACAAAGGGGGATGAATATGGACTTGAATGCTAAATCTTGAATTATAAAGTAAAGATTCAAATGAAATTGTGTTTAATGCAGTACTAAAAAACAGTTCCAGTAGGGGGCATAAATTCATCCCATTCTAATCCACGTTTGCACATTTCCTGAAGTATTTGTTTACCAGTTCAAGTGTAGTTCGTACATGCTTGCAGCTGTTGCCAGGATTCCTCGGCGTGTGGCCGGCCTTTCTTTTGGGGCGACACTGAATGAAAACATGTCTGTCTCAACATTCTGTTTCACTCCCAAAACACTTTGCATTGGAATTTCAGAGTAGTTCAAGTTTACATATTTGGCTCGTTCCCTTTCTGGGATAACACTCAAAACCTCTTTATTGTCGCACACAAATATGTGTAAGCGCAGTTTCCCTTTAGCATGCACATCATCCACATAGAAGTTTTTGTGAATAAAGCTGGCTGCCAAGTGTAATTTTTCTCATAATCGCTTGCAAGATATTAGCACATCCTGGAGAAGATGCTGCTCCAAAGATGTGCACTCGCATGCGATATTCCTTCGGCTCAGTATCGGTATTGCCTCCTTTCCACCACAGGAATCTGAGGAGGTTTAGATCCTTGGGGCTGATATGGAAGCGGTGAAACAATTTTCCCACATCGCACTTTATTGCAATTTGGTGCTTTCGAAATCCACACCCTGCCAGAGTCCTAGTCAAGTCTGGGCCTGAGAGCCAGAGATCATATAAGGAGGCTCCCTCCTGCTTAGCGGAACAGTTAAAAACAGCTCAGATTTGGTCCGGCTTCTTTGGACGATGCACCCCACGGTGTGGGATGTACCACCTTCTACCGTCTCCTGCCGGTCCTTCTGCTTCTTCTGCATCACCGTCTTTAACAACGTTCTCCATGAACTTTATGTAATCCTCTTCCTAGTTGGGATCCTTATCCCTGTTCCTTTTCAAATGTTCTAAGACAGCTGTTGCAAGCTGCTAGTTGTTTGGTATCTGTGGACGTTCTCAGAAAGGTAAGGGCTTTTGTAAAGGACCCTTCTCATTAAAGTGAATGTCATCCTTCAACATCTCGAGGAACTGAATGTCCTCTTGAGATATGTTTCCTTCTGTTGGATTTGTGTCCATAAAATCAGTTTGGAGTGCCTTAATCACAGGAGCAGGTGTGGTTGATGGCAGTTCAGTCACTGCTACATTCATTGTAGCTGTCTCCATCCAAGTAATCCAGGGCTTGTATCAAAATGAACAAATAAACAACTGGAAGAACTCCTTCCAGCTCCCAGTGTTCATCCATTGTAGCATGTCCTCAAGTGTATCTTTACTTGTGTCTCAAAAGATAAACTTTTCCCTCAAGCCCAGAAAATTGGGTTGTTACATTTAAGCCGGACCGACCTTGTGAAGACAGTGTAGCAAAATCTGGGTGAGCCCTCTCAGAGCCGAGGGTTCAGAGCTCGCTCCCACTGGTGCAGCTGAGGGATCACCGGCCGGTCCACCTGCGTTTGTGTGGACTCTCCAGCTGGACTTTTACCTCTGAATAGCTCCTGAGGTCACCATTTGGGCTCAGACAACCGAAATCTTACAAACGCTCAAACTCCTGCCTTCGGTTGCCTCTTCTTGTGAAAAGCTCTTCTCAAAGTGAAGGTAAAACTTCAGACGAGGCACGTTTGGATAATCGGAACGAGTTGAGAAGCTTTTTAACCGATTAGCTGTATTAATAACTTGACGTTAACTCGGCCAAGGACGGCTTTCCGTGACATTTGATCCCATTTTATGGCTGTAACCTTGTAAATAATCGCCCCCCGGTCGTTTTAATCTGTGAATAGCAGACCCGGGGAGGCCCTCGTGTTAAATTGTCCTCCCCTGGTGTTTCCCCCCAACAGCGCCACCGGCTCCCATGGAAACCGAGCCCCTCCCTCAGACGTGCTGCGCCCCCCCGAGCTGCCGGTCAGAGCCCCGCTCGCTGGAGGAGTGCATGGCCGTCCTCTCTGATCCCCAGGTAACCCCAGTCCGGGTTAGGGTTAGGGTTAGTCTCGTTGTGTGTGTGAGTGTGAGTTTGTGTATGTTCATCTGTTCTTTTCCTTTCAGAGGGGTCCCCAAATGCTCAGCGACGCAGAGGTGATGAACCTCGTGACTTCCTGCAAGATCCTGAACTACAAGCTGGAGTCGGTGCTGGAGACCCCGGAGAGGGGCGTGGCCATCCGGAGGGAGCTGCTGGCCGCCAAGCTGCCCGTCTCCTCCGCGCTGGCCCGCCTGCCCTTCAGGGACTACGACTACTCTAAGGTACCAGGACACCGTCCACGGCCTGGTCCAGGTCGGCCGTTTGAGCGCCTGGAAGAAGCAGCAGACGTGCCTCACTCTGTGTCCCCCCCCCTCCAGGTGATGGGCGCCTGCTGTGAGAACGTGATCGGCTACATGCCGGTGCCCGTGGGAGTGGCCGGCCCCCTGCTGCTGGACGGCAAGCAGTTCCACGTCCCCCTGGCCACCACGGAGGGCTGCCTGGTGGCCAGCGCCAACAGAGGCTGCAGGGCACTCTGGGTAAGCCGCCGGCCGCGTGTGTGTCTGCGTGTGTGTGTGGATGTGTGTCTGGATGCGTCTGGGTGTGTGTTTTGATATGTGTGTCCAGATGTGTCTGGGTGTATCTGGATGAGTGTGTGCGTGTCTGTGTGTGTGTCTGGATGTGTGCGTGTCTGCGTTTGTTTGTGTGTGGATGTGTGTGTGGGTATGTATCTGGATGTGTGTGTGTGTGTCTGTCTGCGTTGCTGACGGTGTCCCCCCCCCCCAGCTGTCCGGCGGCTGCAGCAGCAGGATTCTGGCCGACGGCATGACCAGGGGCCCCGTGGTCAAGCTGCCCTCCGCCTGCCGGGCCGCCGAGGTCAAGGTCTGGCTGGAGACCCCGGACGGCTTCGGCCTGGTCAAGGAGGCTTTCGACGAGACCAGCAGGTCAGTAGGGGGCTCTGTGACCGGCCGTGGGGGAGGGGGTCAGGGGGTCGGCCGTCTGGCGGCAGAGTCCTGAGGGTGTGTGTGTGTGGTCAGGTTCGCCCGGCTGGAGAAGCTGCTGGTCTGCATCGCCGGGAGGAACCTGTACATCCGCTTCCAGTCCCAGACCGGGGACGCCATGGGGATGAACATGCTGTCCAAGGTACGGTCCAGCAGCCCGCGCCCAGCTCCGTCCGGCCTGGCGCCGCCTGCCTCAGCTCAGGGTCTCAGGCCGTGTGTGTGTGTGTGTGTGTGTCCAGGGGACGGAGAAGGCGCTGCACCGGCTGCAGCAGCAGTTCCCTGACCTGCAGGTGCTGGCGGTCAGCGGGAACTACTGCACCGACAAGAAGGCCGCCGCCATCAACTGGATCCTGGGCCGGGGCAAGTCGGCCGTGTGCGAGGCCACCGTTCCCGCCAAGGTGGTCCGGGAGGT